TGGTGGAGGATTTTGGTGAAAACATGGAACTTCAACCGAATACCGATGACTTGGAAGATATACCTGGTGAGTTATGTACTTCTGTTATTGACTTGTAATTATTTCTTGTAAATAGAATCCCAATCTCCTGAAGGAATGGACTTAAAAGCCCACTCTATGGAATTGGATGATGAGCCCGAAGTTGAAGAACCAAGCGAAATGAGCCTAGATGTAAACAGCAGTGAGTTATCTGCATGAAGTCTTCTTTTTTTATATTATTTTTTCCCTCATAGAATCTGAAGGTTTGATGCCTCCAGATGAGGGTCTCATTTCAGAGTATTGTCCTGGAGCTGGCGACCTGAACACCGGCAATGTGAGTGTTCTTCTTGATCCTTGTACAGTCATTAATGTGGAACCCTCAGTCATCGTTCGATTTTTTCTTTTCCACAGACCGGAGCTAGTGATCAAAACTGTGGTGTTAGTGAGGTTAGTTAGAGCATTTGAGTTACAGTTCCCATATCTGCACTTGTGCCAAGTTTTTTTGTCCTGAATTGGATGTTTTAAGAGTGAGCTGTTGCAAATGCTAAAAGAATTGGTTGTCACTCCTACTTTCCATGCAAATGTTTGAGTAATCTTTAATTTGGGACTAAGGTAATCTTGTTATTTTCTAATGACTGAGCAAATTGTTACGTTGAAAATTCAGCTGTAAAATTTAAGTTACTAATTGCTTCCAGTACAAATCTAGGTCAGTGTTTTATGTAAATTAGTGGTAAAATGCGTTAATTGCTATTCATATGACAAAAAAGTTGTTTTAGAATCGATACTATCAATCTGATGTCAGTTGTGGCATCCCGATTTTCTGAAAGATTCGAGAGTCATTGTTGATTCAGTTGGTTTGTTCCCTTTTTGGGACCCAAAAGGAATTCGTCAAACCAGACACTGGAATAGGCGAAGGTTTACAAGGTGAAACGGAAAACCAACATCTCACAACCAATGCCTCAGGGAAGGCTGTTGATCAGTCTCCTATGGGACCGCCCTCCACAGATACTCGCAGACCGCTTTCAGAACCCTCCATTCAACGTCAACAGGGTCCACGACCGACTTCCGATCAACGAACCACCCTGAACGAAAAGCTGCACCAGCAGCCTCTTCAGCAGGTAGAGATAGGAACAATTTTTATTTTACATTATTTGTAGGATTCAACATATTTCATCCAGTTTGAATTCCCTTTAAACTATGTAAAATTGAACTGTAAGTAAAGCTGTTAATACGACCTTTTTAAGCATATCACAATTTTCGGCTAGCTTACGGTTATTCCTGAAGCCAGTAAAGGCAGGTAGGATGATCCCATTGATGTACTTTTATCGACTTGCAGGCAGAAATTTTTGAGGCTCCAACAGAGCCGCCTTCAACGAGTGAGGTGGAGGCCGAAGCGACCGAAAACGGCGCAGTCCAGCACGTGGCAGACGAGGCGGCGGCGAAGGCGGCGCCACTTATAGCCTTTGACTCCGCCACGGACACTCAACAAGAGGAAGGAAGGGATGTTGGTATGCGCGAGAACAATAATGATCAGGCCGAAACGGGAACTGATCCTGAGCGACAGCTACCAATGTCATTGGAAAACTTCGATTCTGCTGTTATTGAGGTGAAGCGCTTAGGGATACAAAAGCTTGTTCTTTATATCTTCGGTGTTTACTTGACAGTCTTTGTGCCCGAATTTTTCAGCTTTTGTTAGTTTTTATGTCATTGAGATCGATACTTCTAGTGAATAAAGTAATCAGACGAGTAGAAGGCATAAGCTTTGGAGTGTCAGCTATATTGAAAGTGGTAGGTGTTTGGTTTCGTTAGAAGGTATGCTTGATGGTAATTTTGAATTATGGTGAATGGCCTGCTTTTATGCCATTTTTCCGATGGTTCGGACAGAGTTGGTTGCCTGTTGGTACACTGCCTTTTGGGCTGGTCTTTGACGAGATGAGGTGTATTTCATCACGTTTGATGGAAGCGGAAGTTGTGCGATAATTTGGAGATTTATTAGTCTATATATCCTGAGTTTGTGAAACTCAAATCATTACCGGTCTCATTGATATGAGCTTAGTTTCCTTCCAGTGTGTCTTCGAAAACATATCTCCTTCCTCCTGTAAAATCATCTGTCAATTATACAGCGTTTTGGGTTAAC